TAATAATAATAATAATAATAATAATAATAATAATAATAATAATAATAATAATAATAATAATAATAATCTATATGAATATCGATAATTTGTATATTATTTTTGAAATATTATACCACACTTACTGGATTTCATTTTGTAAATAAATTAATAATTTATATATATATATATGTATATATATACGTTTTTTTTTCATTTATGTGACAACCAGAAACAAAAAATTTGAAACCAAGTAAATATTTTTACGTCATAAACTTATTATTACATAATAAATTTTCATATGTTTATTGTCATTATTTATTTAATATGCTTAATATGTATTTATCGGATGTACATATTAAATATTTATTATATCTGATAATTAATTTATCGATATTGGTAGCATATATAATTAATTACTGTAAAAAATTATAGATATTTTTTATTTAAAATTTTAATCGCAATTCATAATTGAATGATTTTTTTAAATCTCGACTATACGATCGATGAAACAAAATTTTATAAAAAATCGCATGGGTGTCCATATTTATTGAACTTCAACACCTTATTACCGTTTGCAAAGAATTCAAATTTATATGGATTGCTAAATTATTTTTTAGAAAAATTTTTGGAAAATCTCGACTAAAATTTTGTTGATTTTCTTCAGAAAATCAGAAGGAAACACCACCTTTTTAAAATTTAAATTTTTTCTATTATTTTTTGTACATTAACAATTGTAAATTATTAATTTATTTGAAAAACATCAAACACAATATCTTGAGGATATTTTTCATCAAGAAATTCATTACTCTAATTAAAATTTTTTTATCATAAAATTCACCGATAATACTATCTAATTACTTATGTTTTTTTTAAGGATAATACATATTATTTTGAAAAATCACTACTACACCATCGTGTGAAATTTTGTTAACTTTTTTCATACCTTCTTATAGTTTGGAAAAATAATAATTTATATGGACTGTTTAAATTATTTTGTCAGATAAAGTTTTGGAAAATTTCGACTACACAATCGTGTGAAATTTAATTAACTTTTCAAAACATCACACGCAATTGGTTGTCGAGATTTATGTAACTACAATACCTTTTTAAAATTTGAATTATTTCCATACTTTTGTTATATTAACAATTGTAAATGGTTAATTGATTTAAAATAAATCAAACGTAATATTTGAGTCAACATCTTTTATCATAAAATTCAATACTCTAATTAAAAAACCTCCACCACAAAATTCACCGATAATACTCCCTAATTATTAATTTAATTTTTATACTTAATATTTTTAATAATGTAATAAAATCATATATATATATATGATTATTTAATTATTATGAGAATGGATAAATTCTAGAAATGAATTGAATACATATATGGCGATCTATTTATTTTAAATTTGTTAAATATTTTTAATTACATAACTAAATAATGTTACTGTGAATTGAAAATTATCATTATATATATATAAAGAATACTCTTTTTATAAGTATTATAAATAATAATAATAATAATAATAATAATAATAATAATAATAATAATAATAATATATATATATATATATATATATATATATATATATATAGAGAGAGAGAGAGAGAGAGAGAGAGAAAGAAAGGATCATATGAGAATGACTCTTAATGCGAGAAATGAGAATGAGTCTGAACCATTGGATCAATGATATTAATGAACATGATGAAGTCAAACATTAATAATTCTGGTCAAAACACAATGGCATAGTTGTAAATATATGCACATTTCATGGTCAAATGGACACCTCAAAGGGCACTTTTGTAATTTCAGTTTTACATAATTAAGTGGGCCCCCACCACCAACCCATCATCTTCCCTCTCACACACACAATTACACACACAAGATCTGTTTTCTTTTCACGACTTACACAGTTCACACACACACACACACACACACGCACACATGCACAACCGGCGGCACCACAGCGCACACCACCTCCCGTCGCCTCCGTCCGACCCGTCGCCACCATCCCTAACCACCGTCACCGACCGGCCATCGCGCACGTCCAACTCGCCGTTGCAGATCCCAATCTCAGCCACCGCGACTCCCCATCCCAGCCACCGCGGCTCCCCATCCCAGCCACCGCGCCACCCAGCCCAATCGCCGCCGTCAAATCAACAATCCGGACTGACAAAGACGAGGCGGCGAGCTCCGCCGGCGGACGAAGGCTATGCAAGGCGGCGGCGGAGGAAGACGAGGAGTCATGTCTGCTGACGGTGATGACGCTATGAAGCCGCGAACTGCAGCGACGCGACGCGACGGCGACGGCGGTCCGGCGGATGACTGTGGATCATTCATATTTTTGAATGTGTATTGTGGGGTTTTTTTTTATGTAAATTAGATACACTATAGGGCTAATTTGCAATTTTTTAAAACTGTAATTAACAGTGACTTGTTGCTTGTTTATTTGAAGAATTTATGAGAATATACTTGATGCTTAATTATATATTTTACTAAAAATATATTAAATATAGAATGTTGATAAATAATTTGAACAATATATGTATGGTTATTCAATTTAAACTTTCATAAATTTTATTATTAGCATTTTATATTTTTTTAATTAATATTTTTATATTATTATTTGATTAAAAAAATTAATATATACGTACATAAAATATACGATGCAATCCAACAGTTATTAAAGTGCAATTCGTCCAACACTATAGTGCACGGTATTGGTCTGTATTGTGCATATCAAACCAGCTGAACGCTTGTCCCGAGTCAAATTGAAATGAACATAATTAATTAATATATTTGGTTCGAGTAACCAAATTATCTCAAATAATCGAAATAATTTTTTTATTTATATCAAGATTATATAATATGTTAATAATTTTATTTATTATTTTTATATTATTTTAGGCTGAAAAAATTCGAGTTCGGTTGGTTCCAATTTATATTGTGCAATCTGATAGAGGTTAAAGTGCAACGTGGCGTTCTGTAAAGTGCAACTTGATGTTTTATAAAGTGCAACATATTGATGTATAAAGTGAAGTGATGATAAAATGTGGAGTGTGATGATAAAGTGCAACGCGTTGTGTTATAAAATGCAATTCAATGATATATAAAGTGCACTAAATTATATGATTACGTATAAATTATGTGTTTTTGAAACTTAGAATCGGTAAATGTAATTGAACATCGAATTAACCTAAATAATTTAAATAGATTATTATTTATTATTATAAAATTATATTTATTATTTTGATATTTTTATATATTGAAATTTTACATATTAGCAACTCGATATTGTATAAAGTGCAACATAATGATGTATAAAGTAAATTGATGATAAAATGTGGAGTGTGATGATAAAGTGCAATGTATTGTTTTCCAAAGTGCAACAGAATATGTTATAAAGTGCAATTTGACGATATATAAACTACACTAATTTATATGATCACGTATAAATTATGTGTTTTTGAAACTTAAAATTAGTAAACATAATTGAACATTGAATTAACCTAAATAATTTAAACAAATTATCATTTATTATTATAAAATTATATTTATTATTTTGATATTTTTATATATTAAAATTTTTAAACATTATTCACTTTATTTATCATTAAATTGGCAAAAATACATATTAAATTTTTTAATATGCACTTTTGCAAATTACATATTATAATTTTTAATTATTGTGCATTTTGTACTTATCATAAATATGCATTTATTAATTTTTTTTATAAATTATATATAGTGATATTAAAGGCTTTCAATTTGTTAATAAATCCTTATTTCAATAGATTGTTAAAAAGCATGAAAAAAACTATCAAATTACGCATCTATTGAAATTCCCTTGATGAGCTGTAGCCTCTAGTCAAAGCATGCTCAATCTCTATCTCTATCTTCCTTAATCAAAAAAAGGAAAATAATTAAAAAACAATAAACATTTATGAAATTATCCTTGAACAATATCTAATTAAAAAAAAAAAAATCACCCTAATCCCCAAATCAATCAACAACTTGCAGGTCCATTATGTATTTTGCAGGCACCTCCGACCAGGTCTTCTCCGAATCGACCGAGACTGAGACGCCGGAAACGATGGATTCTCCGACGACGCCGGACATGACGGCGGAGCTGGGCGGATTTCTTCCGCACATTTGAACCGACGAGCTCGTAGCGGACTTGGATGGAGGTGGCAGGCGGGACAGTGGAGGCAACCATTTTTCGGTGGTTAGATGATCTCGGCGGCGGCCGGTGTGCGTCAAAACTGTGCGGTGGAGGAGGGCGTCGCGAGCCAAACGGTGGCGAAACAGTTCACCACTCCCTGCAGCTAGGCGGCACATGACGGACGGGCGGCTGCGGACGTCGGTCAGTACCGGTGCCGGTTGGAGTCAGGCGACGGCGCAGTGTTGAAATCCGGCGGAAATACTTTGTGTGTGTAACTGTGTGTGTGTGACGGGAAGGTGTGTGAGAGAGGGAAGGAATGTGGGAGAGAGGGGGTGAGGTGTTGGCAGGTTCCACACGTGAGTAAATGTGGGTCAGTGTTTGGGGTGGGTCCCACTGTTTTGGTGTGGACAATCCACGTTGTTATTGTCTTTAATGAAGGTATAATTTTATTTATTCTTATTTCTCTCATTGAGCACCATTCTCACCGGAGTATATATATATATATATATATAAAATACTCTTTTTATAAGTATTACAAATAATAATAATAATAAATAAATAAATAAATAAAGAACTAATTATCAAAAGTGATTATAGTGTAATTTTGCAAGCAACTGATTTTGACTAGTGAAATACCCATTCGCGGCTCAAGTTCTTATTAGGTGGGGCGCGAGTTGGGCGTCGCCCATCCATCATCGCTTGAAACCGCCTGTGCATATGCATCAGTTCTGTTATAACCGATGTGTGGGGTGGGCCCTTTTTGGATGCATCAGTTTAAAGAAACCGATGTGCCTTCTCAATTGAAATACACAGATCGATCAAATATCATATCACACTCGAAAACCTACATCTCGCTCTTAAAACCCTCCACCGCCGCCATCTCTCTCTCTCGTAAAATTCTTATCGTTCTTCGCGTCTCCGACATTACCAGTTGTCATCCGTTAACCACGAGGCCCGCACGACCTTCTCCACGCGTCAGCCGCCTGTTGACCGCGAGCCCGCACCACTGCATCACCTACTTCGTCAACGCCTTCTTCGGTCCGGACATAGGCTCCTTCTCCGAGTGGTTTGGGATTCGGATCCTCCATCGAGACGTGGATCCACGACCCGACATACAAATATTTTGATTTTGGGCTTCCCTTTGGTGCTGCTCTACAGCTATGTCTCACGAATTCTGGTCCAAAAGGGCGTTCTTGATTCGTTTTCTTGGGTCAGTGTGTTAAAAGACTTGAGCTTTGAGCTAGTTTTTGACTGCCTATAATGAAAATTTTCTCTTTTATTGTTGGTTTTGCTGAATTTAGCTGTCTCTGAAATTCACTACTTATTGATTGCTTAGTTTCAGGAACATGCTACGTTCTTTATTTATTTATTTTTTTGTCCTGTTCAATTAGAGTTTTTCTATGGGGTTTGGAAATATTGACATTTGAGGGAACAATTGGAGACAAATAGATTACTGGAATCATATATGCCATTCTTGTTTTACCTCACTGTATGTTTGTTATCTTTATTGGGTGAGCCTGTGGAAATAAGACTTCAAATAACTTGCTTATTGGATTAAAAGGATAGTTTCTGAATATCCAGTTGTTATGTTTGTGTTACATGCTAAGCTTGGTGGCAGATTCTTAGAGAAATACTGGTAGTTTTTGTATATTGGTTTATATGCATCAAATCCTCCCGTTTTATAGCTTGAAGCTGATTTAGATAATTAATGGAGTTAAAGTTTATGATTAGTGAATTATATTTTCTCTCTGCGGAATAGTAGTTCTATTTCAACCTGTATGAAGTCTTTTACTGAGGCTGTACTTGACGATGAAAATCAAAATTACCTTTTTCTAATGAAATTTGCTTGTTCTTTTATTATGCGTCATCGGGTTGAAGTACATTTTACCTGGAAGAGTTTGTTATATTTTGACTTGATTAATGCGGAATGAAAAATTTCTGGTTCAGGCACCGCTGACGAAGAGACAGGTGCTTCTTGTTGATCTTTGTAGGATCTTTATCACACCTTTTATTAGATCACTTGTTTGAGGTAATACTACAGTTAATATGTCTGTCCTTGCTGTTGGTCTGAATTTATTGTTAAAATATTCAATCTATGGTATTTCTAACCAAATCACAACATTTGCTGTTCTTTATTCATTATTCAGGCTGTTTGAGTGTTTAGCTCTTAAATTGCATCTATCTTTAGCATCTCCAGGTATATTTATAGGATCAGTAATCAGTATACAAAGAAAAATATATTTATGGTATAAAACATGCTCTTGTCATCCCTTTAGAATTTGCACAATCAGAACTATAATATATATAGTTAACTACCGTTTACCCTATTATTATGTATATATATGTACGAAAATGCTCCCCTACCCACGGTGGGCACATGTTAATATGCCCACCGCTTATGTGGCATGTACACATTGGTGATGTATTTTTTCTAATATATTAACATCACCAATGTGTGCATGCCACATAAGCGGTGAGCATATTAACATGTGCCCACCATGGATAGGGGAGCATTTCTCTATATATGTAATGTTGGTTTTCAAAGTACTATTATATATATAGTTGAATCTTTCAAATTATATCCTTGCTACTATTATCATTTTTTTATCTAAAGGGTAGTTATGGATTGTAAATGGATAGATGCTCCCCCAATAAGTTTTGAATATGGGAATGGAGTGAACAAGTTCTTGGAGTTTGCTAACACACATGTTCCTGAAAGTAACGGGAAGTTCTTATGTCCGTGTGTGAAATGCTTGAATGAGAGGAGATTAACTGCGGACGAAATTCGAGAGCATGTGGTTTGCAATGGTTTCAATAAGGGCTACACACGATGGATATGGTATGGTGAATTTGAAATGACGAGTGGGCCAAAAAATGAAGAAGTTGATGCAGATCGAGCGGAAGAGATGATAAATGATATTGGAGTTGAAGCCTTTGAGCAAATATACACATACGGAGTGTATGAGACCTTGTCGACGAATGCAGCAAAGCCTTTTGTACAAAAGGTGTGAAAACTTTTCACGTTTGTTTGTTGTGTTACAGCTCTAATATATATATATATATATATATATATATATATATATATATATAATTGCTGGCAAAGCAATTTATAAAATATTTTTGGTCTCTCGCCAAAAGACGTTACGAAATTTCATCATTAATATGATTTTTCCTTTTATTTTATTCGACTTCATTTAGCAATGTTTTCTGCCCATTTTTTAGCTACTTATGGTAGAAAACTGATTCAATTATTTGAATTAAGTGTAATCATATATTTTTTACTATTATATAATATTACATTAAGTTTACCGTGCTCGTTTTTAAATGTAAATGGTTGGATGGTAATAATGGCGTGAAGGTTGATGAGTTGGGATTCGTATTGGTTGGTTTCGGAGAGAAGGATACAAAAAAGAACCATTTGTCATAATATATCAAGCAAAACAAGAAAGTCTTTTATGTTTCTGGTTCAAGTGACCAACATTGTTCAGGGTAAACGACAACTACTTGTTGATTATAGTGATGAGCCAACTCTAGATATGTATGAATTTCCTTCATTATCAACAAGGGGCCTTTCGTAATAAATGAAGAAGATGAAGCGGACGATTTCTACGCTGCACGGGACGATTGTTGCATAGTATAATACGTAAGTAACTATTATTCAAACCTGAATTTAATATACATCTAGGATACTATTTGCCATATAAGTTCGAAAATACGCTTATAGTTTAATTACGAGAATACATATGTTTAGTATTTTTCCTTTTATTTTTTTTCCCCCTTTAATTTGTCCAATTTGTCATATTTTGATTATGAAAATACATATGTTTAGTATTTTTTTCCTTTTATTTTTATTTTCCACTTTAATTTGTCCGATTTGTCATATTTGATATCATGTTCAAAAGCTTGTTATTTTTATTTGTATTTGCTATCATGTCTAAAGGGATGGTGCCATTATGTAAATATGGCATGTAAATTGTTTAATTAATGAAATTATTGAAACTTGTATGCAGAGAAATGGACGATTTTACTGAAAATAATACTCAAGATAATAGGTCGCAAGGGGACACGGATGAAAATGCTTCGTCTACAAAGAGAAGGAAAAAAGCTAAATATTACATTCGATCGTCATTTTGTGGCAAACGGCCAAACAAAAGATAGTAAGAACAAGTTTGTTACCTACATCTCCTAGCAAAGTCAACATCTTGACACCGAGATGGAGTCAAGTGTAAGGAGCAAATTTGTCAAGTTTAATGGGTATGATTTATCTATCTTGCAAAAATAAAAGTTCAAATATACTTTGATGGTTTATTGTGTTAATGTTCTTCAAGTTATGTAAATAAAAGTTTGATGATCAAATTTTAATTTTCTTTAATAAATCTTTACATTTTGTAGGAGAAGTTTAACGTGCTAGATGATCTAAAATTGAAAAAAAAAAATTGCTTTCAAATATTGGTGAACATTGGAGGAGCTTCAAAACTAGTCTCGGTCATCACATATTTAGAGAGAAGAAAGGGTGTGCTCCCGTATGTCGAGGAGTACAAATTTCTCGATCCGGACAATTGGAAGGCTTTCGTTGCATCGAGTCAAACTCTTAACTTTTTGTAAGTTAATTATTCTCATTACATGAACATCTGTTAATTCTCAGCAGCATCATCATTTATTGGTAAAATAGAATACACAAACTAGTTTTTCGTAGCAATCTTTTCCTAACTTTTTTTTTATCTATATGTATGTTGGAAAAAAAAAAAATGAGACAAGCTCGGGAAATACAATCAAATAATAAACGTCCACATAAATTATCTCGTGGAGGCTACAAAAAATTCGAGCAGCATATTAGTGAGAAGAAATACATGGCGATAAAAGAGGCCTCCACTGATTTGTCCATTATTATTCCACCCCCATTTCCTCTTTCTCGTCCTAAATCATGGAAAATAGCTCGTATAACGAAGAATGAAGATTATGTCTCAGAGGAAGCCAAAATTGTTACTCACAAAATCATAAGTGACATGTTTTACGTTGTAGTTTACACGTACAGTCATATGGATAAAATTGTAACCTCTTTGTAAATTTTTCAAATCTTTCGTGTCGCATAGTTTAGAAGAACAATGTACTCAGGGCAATTTCAAATATATTGGGAGGATCAATATACTCGCAACAGCTTTGGGAAAGAGCATTCCGGGCGTGTGAGGGGAGTGGGGAAGGTTGTTGAGATCAAGGACTACTTTGGGCGGACGCGCTGTCGAGGTATAGGGACATGTTTGGTTTCACGAGATGAGATGGAAACCATCATCTTTCATATGTTGGAGCAAATGAGAAAATAAATGATGATGATAATGAATAAAGACTCTGTTGGCCCCTAGTCCTAATTCTCCAATAATCTAAAGCACAAAAGGGAGTTACGCTTCGAATGTTGTATCATTAGTTGAACTTAACGATAATAAAGAATTTGAGTTGTATGTGGAGAACTCACAAAGGATTTTGGTTACATACGGACGTATTCATAACCTTAGGGTAACCATTCACCACAAGAAGATGAATGAGGATAAAGTGAGGCTTGTCATGTCACGTGTAATCGTTGGAGATGCACCCGTGCCATGCCCGACAGAGGAAGTCACTAGCGTAGAGGAAACGCCAAATAGCTTCATTACTTGCCCTTGTAGGTTGGTTAAAGATGCAAATGCAAAGGTAAATTTATTTACTTTGAATATTATGTTTCTCACTTCATAGTCTTGAATGATTATTTTTGTTCTTAAGAACCAAAAAACATTCAATACTATGGGGTGAGGAAAATAATATTCAAAGTAAGTAATTCTTTGCATTTGCAACTTTAACCAACCTACGAGGCCAAGTAATGAAGCTATTTGATGCTTCCTCTACGGTAGTGACCTCCTCTGTCGGGTACGGCACAGGTGCATCTCCAACGACTACACGTGATACGACAACCCTCACTTTATCCTCATTCATCTTCTTGTGGTGAATGGTTGGCCCAAGGTTATGAATATGTCCGTATGCAACCAAAATCCTTTGTGGGTTCTCCACTACAACTTACATTCTTTATTACAGTTAAGTTCAACTAATGATATAACAGTCGGAGCACAACTCCCTTTTGTACTTCAGATTATTGGAGAATTAGGACTAGGGACTGACAGAGAGTCTATTCATTATCATCATTTATTTTCTCATTTGCTCGAACCGATGGTGGTTAACATCTCATCTCGTGAAACCAAATCTGTCCCTACACCTGGACCCAAAGTAGTCCTTGATCCCAACAACCTTCCCCACTTCCCTCACATGCCCGAAATGCTCTTTTATAATGTTGTTGCGAGTATATTGTTTCTCCCAACAGATTTGATACTGCCCTGAGTGCATTGTTCTTCTAAAGTATCCTGCACGAAAGGTTTGAAAATTTTACAAAGTAGTTACAATTTTATCCAATGTACGAGTAAACTGAAACATAAAAACATGCCACTTAAGATTTTGTCAGCAACAATTTTGGCTTCCTCTGAGACATAATCTCCATTCTTCGTCATACGAGCTCTTTTCCATGATTTATGACGAGAAGGAGATTAGGGTGAAATAATAATGGACAGGAGGTCTCTTTTCTTGCCATGTATTTTTTCTCACTAATATATTGCTCCAATTTTTTGTAGCCTCCACGAGCCTGTATCCTTTTTTTCCTACATATAGAAAAAAAAAACGTTACAGAAAGATTGCTACGAAAAACTAGTTTGTATCTTCTATTTTACCAATAAAAGATGACGCTTGGAGTAAACAGATGTTCAATAATTAACTTACAAAAAGTTAGAAGTTTGACGGGATGCAACAAAAAGCCTTCCAATTGTCCGGATTCTCTCCAAATATGTAATGACTGAGACTAGTTTTGAAGCCCCTTTAACATTCCCTAGTATTTGAAAGCAATTTCTTTTTCAATTTATCATTATCTAACACGTCAAACTTCTCTTACAAAATGTAAAGATTCTTAAAAAAAAAATTACGAGTGTGTCCTGGGCACATTATTGAGTAAGAATATAAAAATATATAAAATTAATTTTAGATTCGATTTACTTGTTTTGATTAATAGCAATAGACAAACAAATTAAAAAGTGTAGCAAATAAATATTTTTATCTTTTTTATTTTGGATTGGTAGGTGATGATGCTTTGTCCAAAACAGAATGGTCTGGTTTGGTTGTGCTTGTTGAGAAAAAACCCAAAAAATAGTTCAAAGGCAAAATTGATCCGTTTGTTTTTAAATTGATAAATTATATTGCTTTTGTAGTTAACTTTTCTTACTTTGCTGAATATATTTTAAATATCTTTACCCTTTGTATTTTGACTTATTTTGTCTTTCAATGTAATATTTATTAATGTTAAAGTGCATTCATGCATAATGGGAAAACGTTTGAAATAAAGAAGCCTACATGAGTTCTTTCACAGGTAAATTTATTGACTCATGCTAAGTGTTTTGATTTTGGAGCGTTCGTATTTCTTTGTTGGTATGCTTCAATTAAGTTTGTGTAATATAAATGATGTTTTTATATTTTTCGTACAGTTGTCGAAAACAAATGGGAGATAGGGCATGTGGATATTTTGTTATGAGGTATATGTTTGAGATTACATCACCTGACACTGTTGACTCGTTCGATGAGGTAACTTTTTATTACAATCAACCTTTTACTGTATTCGAATCACAAACTTCAATATATGTTATTGAGAGAATATATGTTTGTATCATGCATATATTGTGCAATGACCCATATTCAGATGATGAAATTGATGATACAAAGAGGCGTTGGACGAAATACTTTCTGGAAGTCACTTCAATAAGAAAATAGTCTTGATCAATTTGCTTATGATTTGTGGATTTTGAACTTTATAACGAATTGTGTTTGACGACTACTGTTGGTGTAGTGAATTTGAGAATTATTGTTATAACTTAGTGATGTTGAAATATTATGGTTGATAGTAAGTATGAATGTTATCATTATGTGGTCATAGATTTTAAGATTCCAGGTAAAAAAGTAATTTATAATTTAAAAAAACGAAACCGCTGTAAAAGTGTATGATTTTACGTCGGTTTTAAAAATCGATGTAAGAGTGGCAACATGTTACATTGGTTATTGAATAAATTGATGCAAGCATGCAACTTCTGCCATGAGTAAAAACTGATGTAAAGGAAAACATGTTTACATCCGTTTTTGTCAATAACCGATATCACAGTAAGCATGTTCACAACGATTTTATCAATAATCAATATAAGAAAAAGATTTTGCACATCGATATCCATTAATCAAGGTGAACTCTAGTCTTGTGACATTGATAGTCTTCTATTACCTCAGTTATTCAAAGAAACGATGTGACAAAATTTTGATCAAATATTAATAGAAGAGTTGTCAAAAGCATTTGACAACTTTAGTTGTAAAAGGTATGTATAAAGAGTGTCTAGAGTTCAACTCATAACATTATTTATTATTCATTCTAATAATACAAGCTCTCTCTCTCTCTCTCTCTCTCTCTCTCTCTCGTTTTTACCTTTTTCAGTTTGCTCTTCGATCTGCAACATTGTTCTTCAATTTCTTCAATACACAGCATCAGAGGAGCATTGATGTCAATTTAACTCTAGACATTTTAACAATAATTTAAATAATAAAAAAATATATCAAATACATAATGAACAAATATAATTAAGTTGTACTCGATATAATCAAGCACGTAGTAATAATAATAATCATATATCACACACCCCACCACCCACCCACCCCCACTCAAGTGTGTCTTACTCATTGTCTATATATTTAGAGGAGGTTAGGTCGTAAATCTCACACACTATTAGTAAACTTNNGCGATTAATTTAGAGAGAGTATGGCCTTGGTTGTGACAACAATACTGTGGTCGGTGATCACAATTTTATCATCAATTTGTTCAGTAGGGTTTGGTCTGAGTTGGAATTATTATGACAAAAGTTGTGCGAATGTTGAGAGTATAGTAGCCAAAGCCGTTAAGGATGCTACTGCAAATGACAAAACCGTACCCGCCGCACTTCTCAGGTTGCACTTTCATGATTGCTTTATCAGAGTAAGAATGTAATAAAATTCTTTCACAAACTATATATACATACATATATATATATATATATATATTACTTAATAATTACACGTCATTTATGTTGGAAATTTGAAGGGTTGTGATGGTTCGGTGTTATTGGAGTCGAGAGGTGGAAAGAAAGCGGAAAGGGAAGGAGCTCCGAACCAATATCTCCATGCATTTTATGTGATAGAAAATGCTAAGAGAGCTGTTGAAGCTGTCTGTCCCGGCATTGTGTCGTGTGCTGATATATTGGCCTTTGCTGCTAGAGATTCTGTCGTTTTAGTAAGCAATTCCTTTCCAATACGTATATTATTATTCATTTTCTTATATAAACTTATCATTTTATACCTTCTAACAAAGTAGATCAAGTCAAAGTACTGATCAAATAGTAGTAAGTAGTAACTATATATGAACACTATGTTCGATATATGTCCTAAAACAAGAAAAAGATTTTACATATATATTAACTCAGCTGGATATCCAAAAATAAGATAAATTTTTGTGAAAATTTTGAGAATGAACTCTCGCAATTACCCAAGGTGATGCATGAATTTGGCGCAAACAACACCGTGATTATATATATAAATTTTAATAGAAAAAGTTATTGCATGTATTTCATGTTATTTTTAATTAATATCATACTAGTACAATACCCGTGCACTAAACGAGTACTTAAATATATTAATATTTGTACAATTAAAATTAAAATGGTTTACATTTTTATTGTGAAATTATTTATAATACCCGTAAACTACACGGATACGTAAATATATTAGTATTTGTATAAAAAAAATAAAATAATTTATATTTTTATTGTGAAGTTATATATGAAGAATATGCAACAATAATAAATAACTAACATAGTGATAATTAATTCAAATGGTGCCGGTACTTTTACAATGATTTGGCAAAAAAGATACTTTTAATTATATTTTTAAAATTATATATGTCTAGAACTAATATTATTTACAACTTCAGATATTTGATTCATTTCTTTTAAACAAAACAAATTTTATCGTATTGTGATTATATTTTATTTATGGAGCAGTGTCTCACGTTTATTAATTTTCAAGTATTTTAAATTCATATAACAAATAATTTAGAATTTACGTAGAAATGTATTATTTTTTAACTTTATGAAATATTAAATTATTTTATTTTATTTAATTATGATATTCTTTATATTTACCATATTAAATAACATTATATTCAATTTTTTATACAATCTATTTAAATTGAGAAATAATATTTTATAATATTTCTTAAAATTTATCTTATGTAATACTTAATTTTTATTTTTTATCCAAATTTTATGAAAATAAAATAAAATATTTATTTTATGGTGTACTAATGAATTATATTTTTATTGTTCTTATAAAATAAATTATATTGTTATATGATGTTTTTTAAATTGAGTTGAAAATAAAATAAATTTTATTTATAAATATAGATGACACTATTTTTTATTTTATATATGTAATAAAGATGTCAAATCGAAGATCGTTAAAATATAATTATTTTGGTAGATCATATATAAAAAATAAAATACAAATAAAAAAAGTTATAAAGTCCTTAAAATAAAAGAATGCATATTTATAATAACTAATATTTGAATTAAATAAAAAATGTAAGAGTAGTATATGATAATTTAAGAAAAAATTAAAGCTTAAATTGTTTATGGTAATTTTCGAACCTAATAGTCAAAATCAAACCTGAATGTCAATACAAAGCACTAATTTATGCCAAATAAGCTTACGAACCACACGAGCCTACCACTTAGGCTCAGTGCATTCGGGAATTACATATAGGGGCGATGCTACTATGATGATTTACACATGTGCTATTTGCATAGTCTTGTGGTTCTTAAAACAATGTTTTAATTACAAATAACATAAAACCCGATGAAAAAATAACATTACTCGGTAATTAAAAATAATGTTATTTTTCTTTATCGTGTTTGGTGTTATTCTTAGTTAGAATTATTTTAAAAAAAAAAACCTAGATATACAATAGCATTTGCATAAATAATAGCATTATATAATATTAAAAGTAGGGTAATTCAAGTTGAAAAATAACATTATATATTATTCTCACAATTATTACACCAAACTAGGGGCGGACCTAGTCAGGAGCACGTACAGATTATAAAAAAGGTATGTTGAGTTATATATATATATATATACATATATTAATAAGTTATATAGCAAACTATTTATTTTCTCAAAATTTAGTGTATAATTGACTCATAATTAAAAAAAAAAAAATTGCAACTCTATCTAAGAATAATAATATGACATTAATTCTTTTACAATTCCATCTTTATGTCGGTTCTTGATTTCTACTCACATTGTGTTGTATCTATCAATAAATTATTTTTTAACTTTTTGTAGCCCTCTATTTATGGTGAAGAATTTACAAAAATAACGTGATCTTTAGAGCTTTCATAATAAAGTCAACTTAATTAAGATTTTTAAACTCTTGTTATTATTTTTGAACTCTTGTTATGATTTTGATATATAATATATTTTAGGCGTTCTTAAAATTATAGTTATATTTTCTAAATTAGCTATTAAATTATATTTGTTACTGATTTTTTGTACTAATATGATTTTATTTTTCTGTAATGAAATATTATAAATAGAAGTCCACCAATGCTGAAATTGAAAGAAATATCCAATACAAAATAATGTTGATATTTGAAAAATATTAATATAATAATTTTTTTGAAAAAAAAAAAGCTGATGGATGACAGGATGAGTGTGGGGGCTTCACACTGGAGCCCATTTAACATTATGCACATGTGAACTATCACGCTAACAATATCAC